AATAAGTTGGGTGAGAGATTCCATCAGCATATCTGGAACTTTAGATGTGAACTACAAATAGAATGGGAAAAAAGAGAAGGAATCTCAAAGAAGAATAAGAAGACAAAAAAGGCCAACAAGAAAAAGAAGAAAAAGAAAAAGAAGACGAGGAAAATAAAGAAAATCAAGTACAAACAGGAAAACAGAAAAACAAGAAGAAAGAAGGTGCAAGAGCAGTAGCATTCAAAAACATAGAAAACCTAGTGTAAGATGGTAAAAAACCAGATTGGTCTTCATGGGTAAGATGTAAAGTTAAAACAGATTTAAATAGCAGTACTGACAAGGTGGGTAGTCGCCAGCCTGTGACTGAAAGGATCAAATCCTTAGTGAGTTAAGGATCCGGAGGGAGGCCAAGGACTACTGAGGCAGGTCGCACCTGGGTGTAAGCCAAGGGTGAGTCTCTAGTTTGGTTAGATTAGCAATAGCTACAGATAAAAATGTATAATTCTTGAATAGCTTAATCTCAAATAAACAGAGGCAGGATTGCCAAATTATAAAAAAAAAAAACCTCTTTCAAATTGATAGTTTGTAATCCAAACTACATTTTTAAAAAAAGATTTTATTTTTATTTTTATTTTTAACAATATTATAATAGTTTAAACTTTGATATTTTATATATAAATCTAAAATTTGGCACTAATCTACATGTATAAGCCAATAAAAATCCATTATTTTTGTATTATATTGTTTAAATTTGACACATTTTAATAAAAAGTTGATGTTTTATAGTGTCCTTATCCAAATTTGGCGCCTTTTTAATAGTAAAATAAAATTTGATATCTTAAGCTGTCCTGCACTATAGAAAGTACATCTTTTATATAAATTCTATAAATAACTAAGTTAATTCATTCTAGTTTATTAATATCTGATATGAATAAGTCTGTAAATTCTTTTAAAAGTTGTATGAATCTTTTTCTTTTATCTTCTAAGAGAGGTCTAATATTTAATGAGGTTTCTTTTAAAATTGTATAATTTCATAAAGAATAAAAGCATTGATAGTATATACATGTCTTGGAGTTAGGATAGAGTTATTAATATCTGTGTTCTTAGATAGTTTTTTATCTTGCCTAAGATTATCTAAAAATTTATTGACTTTATAAGAGTAGCAAATTGAGCAGTACACTAGTTAGTATACTGACTATCTTCACTTTATATAGTATTATAACCCAACAAACTCCTTTTAACTACAGCCTGAACTAAACAATACAAAAAGAATAGACATAGGCAGTTATTGTCTATGCTGACGATACAACTTGAATTGCAGAAAGTAAAGACCAAATGAAGAAAATAATTCAAATTGTTAAAGAGTTCTTTAAGTTCAATAATATACAAATTAATAAAAAAAAATCTAAACTAATTGTCATCAATTCTGAAAAAAGAAGAAGATAAAAAAATCTTTTTTGGTAGTGAATGGCTAATAGAAGAAGAAAGAAACAAGATTACAAGATTTTTAGGAGTTTGACTTAACAACAAGCTAGATAAGTCACTAGTTAAAGCAAGAGCAAAAAAGATTGTATGCTCAATGGTTCGAACACTAAATCTAAAGAAATTAACAATAGTATAAGTATTATATACAGTATAAACAATATATGTATAATTTCAAAACTATACTATATGCTGCAAGTTTCCATATTTACAAAAAAAATGATTGATGATCTATAGGCACCAATATTAGTTTTGACAAAACATAGAATAGAGCTAGCAAGAACTATGTGAAAAAGAAGTTTTTTAAAGATTTCTCAAGAACTACTGGACCAATTTTAATATTTTTTCATTATTAAATGCATTTTAATAAGCTTTACAACTTTTGTTACAAACTCAAGAGTGATTTACTTAGTAAAAAAAGTTTTAGATAGAAGTGCTGCACATTTAGCCTTATAGTAAAATTTATATATTAAAAAAAAATATTTGTTTAGATAACTTGCGATTTGCTTATTAAGTTAATATATTATAATTATATAATAATTATATATACTTACTTATACTAAAGATCAACCTAATTTAGTTTTAAACTAATTAATTTAATTAGTTAAACTAAAACTAAATATAGCTATTTGAATATAGCTAGGTTTATAAACACCAGCTAATAACTAAAAAGATTAAATTCTTAATAAATTAAGGATTTGAAGTAAAACAAAACTCTATTAAGGTGAATCATATCTAAATATATGCTAAATAAACTTTTTTTAATAAGTGTTCAATATAAATAAATTTAGTATAATTCATTATATATTCTAAGTACTAAATAATAAAGATAGGATTGTTGATTTAAAAAATAATAAAACTAATAAAAAAAAACAAAAAAAACTTATTTTATAACAATATTATTAAATCTATTAATAAATAAAGATTTCAAACTTTATTTTTTTTCTTTTAACAATCCTGTTTACTTTATTATGAAAACAGTCTTTCATTTTTATAGGCATAAAAAATCTAAATCTATAAGTATTCCAATCAAAATGTAAACTCACCCACGGTGTACCTCGCAGATGCCGTAACATTTACTTGCAGTCAGGGTAAACCATTAAACAACTATGTTTTGCCCAGATACAATCTGCCTAACAACACTTAACCTCCTTATGTCAAAGGTTAAAAATTATATAGATATAACTAGAAGATGCCTGTATATCTTTTTTTATTTTGCTTTATTCTTTCAATTAAATCTATATCTTTATCTGAAAGTATAAGAATTTTGAAATCTCCACATGCTCTATCTAATGATTACATGTTTGTATATCCTTAACAACATAACATATAAAGTATTTTTCTGAATACTCATCTAGTTACTAAATTTGTCAACACTGTCTATTTTACATATGTTGTTTGTTATCATGCAGAGTTTTTCAATATAGAAGTGGTAAACATTACCAATCTTTTGGAGGAAGTATGCCAAATTTCCCACTTTTTGTCAAAAGTTTTGACCAAAAATATCAAAGAAAAAAAAATACTGTATTTACAAAAGCTCAAAACAATAAAAGTGTTTTCAGTTGTTCTTCATAAAATTAAAAAGCTTCAGATACTTGAGTTAGGAGTTTTCACCACTACTGTTACCAAAATAACCTTTTTGCTTGGATGCTGAACATGCGAGAGAGTTTATCAAGAAAAAAAGCTTGACCCAAAGCACAAACCAACTATGTACACCCACTTTTCGGTGTTTCATATATAAGTCTTCATTAACAATAGTACCAATAAAGAACCTCAAGTATCTTTGAACTTTTTTAGAGCCTTGAATCTTCAAACTGTTTTGGTGCGATCTTGGTTCAAGTGATTGTCAGAAAGAGTTGAAAATCAAATAATATTGAAGATTTCAAACTTTAGAATCAAAAAATTTAATTAAATATTTTATAATATTTAATATAAAGTGATATATCAAATTTTTGGTAAACTTAAAAGCATAAAAAACTAAAAATTAATTTAAAATAATAACAAAACCTATTTATTTTACATGGTCTTGATCAAATTTAATTTTAAATTCAACTTAAGCATTTATAAAAGTTTTTATTCTTGTTAGAAGATTAAATACTATTGCACAAAAAGTAATTATTCCCACTATCAAAAACATAAGTTCATATAATTTCACGTAATTTCACTATGTTTTTTTCCACTTAATACTAATAGATTATTATTATTATTATTATATTTTTCATTACTACCTTCTTAGATATCATAATTTTTGATAGTTATCTATATATATCTTCCGGTTGAATCTTAACATCAATTCAACAAATGTATTACTAATGTGGTAAACATTGGCATAAATGCCAAAATAAGGTAACAACAAGGCATTTGCACCATGATAATATTTATAGGTACCTGGATAAGATAACGAAGCATTTGCAATATTAAGTTATAGTTGTTAAAATCAAAAGGTATTTGCAACTTTAAGTTCGTCAACATTAAATTCGTAGATATTAAAATAAGATATAAAATGAGCTGGTGAAAAAGCATTTATAATATTCTGTTTATAGATTTTAAATTGAAAAATATTGATTTAATCATAATTGTAGGTATTGAAATAATATTCGACGTTTTAATTTAGGGTTTTATAATAAATAAATGGTATAAAAGTTTGGTAGTTAAATGTTGAATAAAAGTATGATATAAAATAAAATGTAACTATATATATAAATAGATATAAAAGAAAATAAATAAATTAGATAAATTATACGATTAAATAATTTAATAAATCATGAATAATATCACCTAGGTGAAATCACCTCCGGTTAAAATTAATTACGTATAAACTTTTATTATACTGTATATACAATTATACTAAATTATACCAGCGACATTAATATAACATATTAAAAGTTCTAAAAGTTTTTGAAATATTAAATATTTTTACTTAAAACATCTAGCATTGATTAGTTAGCTAGTTCTGGTATAATTTAGTACGTAAAACCAATTAAAAGATATAAATAATTGTTAATATATAAATACATATAATTTTATTATCAAAATAACTATATATATACCTTTATAAAATAGTTCAACAAATTAAAATCATTAAAATCATTAAAATCATACGTACTACGTATATACTTAAACATTTTACACTATTTGTTGAAATCAATTTTATACGTAACGATAATTATTTTGGTAATGATTAACCGAAAACGAATCGAATCAAAAGATATTTACTGTTAAAAACTATTTACATTTTTAATAGTAATTCCAAATATCCGAGAATATCTAAAAGTTGTTTAAATATATATATCTAATATATCCAAAGATCATCCTATTATGATACCTTTTAATTTACTGCTTTGCGTTGTAAAAGTAGTCTAAAATGTATAAGTCCAATTGTATAAAATTAACCAATCACGAGAAAGTTTTCTATAGAATCCGTCTATATGATAATGTACTAGTTGTTTACATAATTTTAATAGCTAATCAAGATCGAGTAATAACAATGATAAATCAAATTTGTTAAATTAGCATGACTAGCGATCAAATATTTTCTAAAAAACACCACCCATGATGGTCAATCTTGAAACACGTTCTTCAATTGACGCAATATCTTCTTCAATTTCACCACTACTTTGATTATTTCGTGGTAAATATCCACAAAACCACCGTTCTAATAATGCACGTACTTTCTCTTTTACAATTTCGTTTACTGAAGAATTATTCCATGTCATAATCAATGCTTCTACTATTCCTGCAGATGCTAATTTGTCAGCGTATTCATTAGCCAATATCTGTGATGAATTTGGACCTGACAAATCACCAACTGAGAGGATATTAACTAATGTATCGATAAGTTTATTCAAGATTTCATGCGGAGTTCCTGGATTGCGTAAATGATGGAGAGTAGGTGATATAATATCATGTTGAAGGATGATTCTAAATCATTTAAATAAGTTAATTATGGTAATTAATGATAATTATAGGAAATAATTATAGTAGTAATTTAAAATTATATATAAGTATAAAAAATCTATACGAACTGAATATGGCCAGGATTATGTAAACTAGTAGAGTTACTAAGAACCCAACAAGCTTCTTTAACCACTTTCATGTCGCTATCCCAAAGTAAAGCGACAATACTCTCTATTAGATTAGGTTCTGTAAGGACAGCATTTACCTGAATAAATGAAATATAATTAGTCAAATAGATTGAAAATGAAAATCGTCAAAATTTTAAAACTATTCAAGTACCTGTTTATATGTACCAGCAGCCACATTGGAAACCGCTAGACATGCATCACGACGTAGTGTCAAGTTTTTCGTTGTCAAAAATGATGATGTCAAAATGGTCAATGCACCAGCATCGATAACTGACTGCGTTTGTTTCTCTATAATAATAATTTTCAGTTTAAATTTATAACAAAAATATATATATATATATAATATAATTATAAATACAAACCTGCTCCGGACGCTATATTAACTAAAGTTCGCAATACAGGTAAATGTACAGTAGACGTAAGACTCTCCTCACTGCCAAAGGAAAAAAAAAATGTGTAAAATTTCCTTCAAAGATATAAATATATATATAATATATATATATATATATAAAGCTCGTATAATACGGAAAGAATTTTAACCTCAGAAGTTGCACTAATCGATGACATAGTGTGCTGTCACTAACTAAAGCATGCTCTCTATGCTTATGCGTTCCATTCAAAATTCTCGACATGCCCCAACTAATAACAGAGTGGAACAGAGATTAACTTCGTATTATTACCAAATCTGCCACACCAACATTTCACACAGGATTCTTTCAAGAAACACACCAAGCATCAGATATAATTTCGATATCGTTCAATTGTACCATGTTACCCAAAATTGGAAAAGCAGGAGTAATCTAATTTAATATTAATAAAATATTATAATTAAAAAGTTAAGAAAAATTCACCAATATTATAAAGATTTAACCAAGTATATACTATACTGCTTACCAAAGACCATGAAGGATCCGAACAGCGACATCCACGACACATATTTGCGGTTGCCCAGACTGTTATCCTAACGGCCATGTAGTCGTATTTATCGTAATGTGTTAAAATATAGAGTAAAGGTTCGATCACTCCAGCCGATAATATAATGTCTCTGAAAACGGCACCATCACCGGCAATATTGCCTAATGCCCATATAATCTGTTATTACCAGTACAACCATTTAAGATGACATATTTGTTTGAAATTGAAAATTAACGCTAATAGGGAAATCAATAAATAAAATAAGTAAATAAATGTGTAAATAAATAGTTTCTTACCTGCGTCTGAACTTCGATATTCGTTGACGTGGTAAGAACTTTGATAAGGTGTTGCGTTACATCACCAGCGACTAAGGCTTGTGTATGCTGCGTAGAACCAGCCTGAAAAGTCAATGTTAGAAAGATAATAAATCAAAATTGTTCAAAGCCAATGGATATTAACAAATATTATCCGAATTGAATAAATAAATAAATGCTTACGGCTATATTAGTAATTATCCAGGCAGTTTCATACTGAAAATCCATCAAGCAAAGGGAAAATATTTTTTAGTCGTCTAACAAAAAGATAAATAGATTCTTAATAAATATGAATTATACTTACTTGTAATAAATTATCGTGATAACATTCGAGAAATTCTATCAATAATGGTATTATTTCCAACGCCAAGACATTATCAACTCTTTCATCAACATTTTCTACATATTTAGAGAACATTATAACGAAACAGTTAGCAATAGTCAAAAAACAAAGTCATAAATTATTAATTAACAACATTAACAACAAATAATAAATAATACACACGCAAAGATAGATATTTTCGTAATCTTACAACTGCAGCAAGTCGTAACTGTCGCACTGGAGAACGAAGTGCATTATAAACAGCTTGCGCATATTGAGGTAACTAAATAAATTGAAAAGTTCAAAAAGTGTTGATAAGATACAAGATAATGAAATAAACGACTTTTTTAATTTATTATATTTTTAGAAAAAATATATTCTACAACAAACCAGCATTGATACTTCACAAACTGGCAAGCCGTCATCGTTTTTCCCTAATACTTCTGCTGCATCAGATGCCACTGAAAGATTTGCCAACTTACGGTTTAAGAACTCAATAATATCAGAGTCTTCTTCTGCGGTACTCTTCTCTGTGTGTGATGTCATTTTAACGGTTTTTTTTTAAGTAACAAAAAAAAAGTTAATATCGAACAGATGTTTTTATACAGATCTCGCACAGTTTTGGTGGCTTAGAAGGCAATGTAACCCATTGTTTATATAATAAATATCAGGGTAACTCGCCTCCAGTGTGAAGTAGTGGTATAGGTAAAATAGTCAGGTGATAAAATTGAATATAAATGGTTATACGATAATAAATCTATGATCTCATCTAACAAAGAATATGCACAATATGTTTATATTTATTGATGGACAGTTTCACGATTGTGTCAGAAGTCTTATACTTGGCATGAGAACGTACTCACCTTCTTGCACAGTGATATAAGAAAACCTCATTTAAAACTTATGATACACAAAATTGTCACGAAATTTGATGGTTAAAGGATTTTATTTGTAATTAACTTATCCCCTTCTTGTAGATCTCTTCTCTAAAAAGAAAAGTATTACAGGTATCAACGTCAATCGGAAACTGTTGGAAATTGTTGTAAGGTTTAATAAGCTTAGTAATCACGTGAAAATTCTGCCAGAGAAAAAAGGGAGTGAATAGATCGACAAGCATGAAAGCGGGAAAGCTGCAACTCATCCGATTAGTCCAATTAATCCAATTAAATTTTTTAGCCTCTGAATTAAATGTTTAGAACCATTTGTTAAGTCAAAGGAGGTTGGCTCAACGTATTCGTAGTTCACGCGATTACGCAGCTTTAACCTCCTAAAAAATCGAATTTATATAAAATTCAATATTCCCAATTCAGATTCAATGAAGCCTTATATAGCCACCGATTTAACGATAATTACGTACATATCGATATGTGATATATCAATATATCAGATAAATAAATTCTTATATGAGAATTCACATCCGACCAGAATTAAAGTTTGAAAATCAATCTGCCCACATTAATGCAAACACATGTCATTGGTCGATCTATTAGGTAACACAGATTCAAACAACACGTAAAAAAAAGAAAATTTGACAATAATCACAATAATTTCTTTTATGTCCTTAGAAGGATGACACAATTATTTCCTCGTGCAACACTTAAAAGAATAATCAAATCTCACCATAACAAAGCATTGACCAAGAATGTAGACGTTATGGTTAGTCAATATATTATAATATTACGCGTTTAATATATATTTTTAAATATTTACTTTTCCAAATATATAGATTTATCTAGATTACGTTTTATTTCTTCAACGCCTAGCCGAAGAAGCTAATATTGAAGCAAATCAAGATCTGAATGAAAAAAAAATAGAAGAAAGACATGTTGTAGCTGCTTTAGAGGTTCATATTCTTTGTATATTCTCAGCTATATTGATATATCGTTTAATGAAGTTAATGAAATTTCAACATAGAGGGTATTGCAAGAATTTCAAGGATGATATAATCCGATTGCAAAGGATTTGCATTCATTTAATAAATTTGCTATATAACTTCTGCAAATATTTACGTCAAGTCTTTTCAATGTGCTAAATAGTGATAACAGTGTTGGCATTTGGGCTAATTGAAAATAATATGGGTTATCGTTATGGTGATTTTTAAATTTTTTTTTTTTTAATTGGACATATTCAAAAAATATGGATATAATCATATAATCCGAATGCCAACACTAATATTGTTCTTTGTGAAGATTAACTGCAGCTAATATTCCTCAATATAGTTGTCATCAAATCATAATTCAGAGGATGCACGTACATACGTATTACAATATAAGCCTTTAAACCAAACCATACAGAGTCAAACCTTTCTAATTGCTCCTTAAGGACCAATGTTGAGACTGTTCCATACTATGTATACACTGTCCTACGTGCTAAGGACCATGACTTGAAAAAATTTTCTACCGGATGTACATTAACGTTACATTTAACGTTAATAGTGAATTGAGATATGAAAGTGTGTTCGTTTATAGATATTTGACTGTACAAAGCTTCATTAAATTATTTTCCTTTTTCTCTCATCCCTCCATTTGATCATTGACCACCTGATTATGCTATAATCACATTCACACCGTTTTCTCAACAAATTATAGTGTGTATGAGACACTTTAGGTATGCCGATAACAAACATGAAATTCTTCCTACAATTGAAATTAAAAAAAGATGAAAAAAAAAGTTGATATCCATAATGATCATCTACGAGTATTAGTAATTTCTAGAGTTCCGAACCGGATCACCCGTATAATCTGAAAGTGATAGCAATGCTTTTAAAAATTGATACTACGGATTATCAGTCTTCTCTGTTGCAATATATTGTAAAACAATGGGAGAATATATACAAAAATAGAAAAAATGAACATGAGATACATCACGCCTGTACGTAAGTGTAACAAAAATTGTTACGTTTAGTTGGTAAATAAGTTTCATCAAATGAAAACTCGGAAATCTTCATAAGATTTTCAAGTCTTAGTTCAAATGTGAAAACGAATTTAAGAAACTTCTAAAGAACTTTTAACAATTAGGATGTTACTCAAAGGCGGTAGAAACCGTTGAAAAAGTAAATGGCTTATTGTTTAAGAAATTGATAATGATAAATCCTAATAAAATTTATATTATATAATTAATAAAAAAAAATTTTTTTTATTAACAAATATTCGAGGTATAATTCTACGTACGTACGTACGTATTTGCATGACGTTACTTTATAAAAAAAATCAATTAAAATAAAAATAGGGTTGATGAACCCAAATCGGGTGAACCGGTTGAATAATCGTGACGGTGAGAATTATGGATGACTAGTTTTTTTTAAATTTTCGAGGGTGGAGTTCGATTCGATATTATCGAAAAATAAAAAAAAAACTGAATCTGAGATCCGGACAATAGGCATGAAAAAAAAATAATACGATAGTAAAATACAAACATGTAAACAGTGTTGTGACCTGGGAGAAACTTTGACTCGACACTAATTTAGCGCAGGGCCACAAACATAAACTTGGAGACGATGGTGCAGTTAATGTATTCTCTCTTCGTCGTACTCGTTGCGGGTTTTATATTGTTATCATCTCAAATAAGGTTAAGTTATCCAGTATTGGAATATGCGGTCGATCTGGAATACGAAAGTTTTCTAACTCCACGCGTGCAATTTGACTTTTATTGGCGTTTATTTCCTTGGCTATTAGGTACATCCACCTAATAAGCAAGCACTCAGTGTACTATCAAGATAGTATTTTCCTAAAGCCAATCATTGGGACGATTCGCCCGCACCTCTAGTGCATATTAGACTTTTAATTAATTTTATGCATCGACCTCTATTTTTACAGGAAGATGATCACCAAATTCCGGGCCGCATTACAGCTGTTATCATTATTCCTGGAACACCTTATGAAAAATTAACTCAGCCGATTCGATAAGTTTTTTCGTTATATTGATATTGGTTATCGATTAATAATTGTCACTGTTGCATTGTAAATAGAGGTCGTTTAAAGTTACGTGAGTTTCAATTTACAAATCGATTAGTAACCAATTTAAAACCCACGTACATACGCACATACGCACATACCTGGCTTTAGACTATCTCCGTAAATAATAAACATTATACTGATCATGCCGAAATCAATAACTTATCGAATCGGCTGAATAATTATTATGTTAGTTTTTCATAAGGTGTCCCAGGAATAATGATAACAGCTGTTAGCCAACAGTCTATAGCAAAATTATCAGCCGGGCATTTCTTCATTGGTAAAATTTTTGGACAAAATTAATCAATTCCGGCATATCCAGCCAGCATTCTGATGCATTCCGACCCGGAATGTTGGTGATCCCAGCTGTTTTCATAAATTCTGGGACATCTGGCAAAAAATTGACCGACCGAATATTCGCCGATTCGATAAGTTTTGATTCGGCAGTGACCATCGCCGAAATCACAAACTTATCGAATCGGCAAATATTCGGATGTCCCAGAATTTATGAAAACAGCTGTAATAATAAAACATATAACCCACTCCGGAACACTCCAGAAGTGGGTTATATATTTTATTATTTGTTTTGTCTCCCATTTTGGGATAAACTATTACGATGTAGAAACATACGGATATTTCCCTTCTGCTATCGAGCAACCTACGCAGATGTTTATAAAATCGTGCAACATGCTCTTTCTTTCTCATTTTTCATTTTCTTTTGTATCGTTCCAAAGGGCCATAAATTATCATTATTTTGTGACTGTCGTCTCAACAGGCCACAATTAACGTTTTTCAGCATACAATCCTAACGGATCCCACTACCTACTCTTATTTATGACTGCCGTCCCGGCAGGCCACAAAAATTATGCGTCGCTCTAACGCGGGTAGGGTGGGAGGGATCGATATAACCAGAACGACGATCCAATTACCTCATAATTAATTACCTGATTACCTCATACTTACCGTTACGTTCCATCAGTCAACTGATCGATCGAACATGTGATCATAACCTGGTCTGTCATATGTCATATGCTCGATCGGATGGCACATGATTCGAGACAAAAGCTGCCTCGATACTTACGTATCGAGCAGTTATTAGTCTGGAGTACTCATTAACAACCCTGGTGATCCCCCTCTATGAGTTATCGACGATCACACCATTCATGCGCTACGAATTCCCGGGGTACTATCGAACGTGTCGAATAAAGAGTATTACATCCTAGCAAAGAAAATAATAATGAAGGTTTATACAAGGAAAATTTTTAACAAAATTTTCGCAACAATAGATAGTCCGTATAACCTCCAAAGTTTGTAACGTTTTTTTTAAACAGGATTGAACATTTAGATAAATTAGTAAGAAAAAAAGGGTGTTTATTCACAATACAATTATATAATGTATTAAATTTTGTTATGATTTCTGTGTATTAGTAACAGATTGTTAGAGGTTACATATTCAACCGTTTTGACCCGAGTTGTAAATTTTTGACCCGGTTGAACCGTTTTGACACGGGTGACCCGGTTTACTATAACCCGGTTCTAAACTCTAGTAATTTCTCTTAAAGCATTTTGAGACTCATTAATATTTTTTTCTAGATGTTGTTTAGTTTTATCCAAAGTCTTTAGATCAGTTTCAGCTTTTGTAACACGTGTATCAAGTTCAGTCATCAAGAATGATAAATCTGTTTTGAAAAATCTTTGAGAAAGTTTTTTTTAGATATTTCGAGATCTTGATTTAACAATGGTCTCAAGTTGTCAAAGTAATACCTACGCTTTACCGACAGATTTATAAGTTCTAGTATCCTTGTCTAAAGCTGATAACTCCCGTTTGGTCAGTTCAGCTAAACGTTTATCTCGTTCCTTCATTTGTATTTGAGTTTTTACTGAATCAAGCTTTCGAACATCTTCGACTAATCTATTTTGTAGCTCAAAAAGAACCTTTTTTTTTTTTTTTGTATGTGTTAAGATGATTAGAACAATTAATAATACAATTAAAAAATTCATTTAAACAAGATTTATCCCACCTTACGTAATTTTTCGTCTGGAATTGACATTGTTAAAAGTTGCGCGAATAGTTATTCATTTTTGATAATGATAATGATAAGTAATTGAAGTTACGCATATACAGGAGGATTTTCATGTGATTGGCTATCTTCCTGCGCCTACTCCTATTTTTTTTTGATGTGCCCTAATTCATCCATGTGATAATCGAAGAAACTGTCACTAACATAAAGTTCTAATCTTAAATAAAAAAAACTTTTAGAACTGGCTAAGATATTACAAACCAGCCAATTATGCTAAACAATCAATATGTTTTTTTTAAAAAGACAATTTCGTTACTTGCATGATGTTTTAAAAAATATTATTTTCCGTTTCACTATGATCGCAGACAATCGAATGATTGGCCGTTGGTCGTCGATCACCACGTGATTAAATCAACACAAATCTTTAAGATGATTGGTCATTACTTTATAATTCAATTTTCTTTTTTTTATAATTCGGCAGTCCTGCCACTTTTTATTTGTAGATTAACTAAATTAAGAAATTTACATTCCCTAATAATAGCTATACTAATTCACCCATAAAGTATTCATGCTTTCGCCAGATATCAGTGGACTTCAAGCCTCTTTCTGGGCCTCTAACTTACTAGAGGTTATCCTTTAGTCATGGGCTGGTGCCACACACTGTATCAAAGTTAGCTTTCCTTTTTACTAAATGAAATACAAACACAAATGCAAAAAGCAAAACAAAAATGGTGAAATACTATGGTGTTGAGTTTTGGTTCATCTAAACCAATAAAACCAAATAAAACAAATAATAAAAAAAGAAAACAAAACAAAAGAAAACAAAGATAGCACTATTAAATCCATGTAGGATTGTAAAAATTATATAGTACTACAAATAATCTAGACTAAAACCCTTCTGCAATGTTTCAACCTGTAACTTCCTGGATAAAGTTTGTGAGCTGTTGTCTATCGACTCACGTTGGCGGATCAGGCACTCTCAGTATAATTACCATAACTTCTTGAAGAAAAAGTATCTAACACTATAACCTAAAGTATACACGTATACGTATACATGTATTTCCTTTTTCAGCAGCGATTGTTGTTATTGATCTTTTAATGGGGGTATGCTGTTTTTTCTACTTTTTGTAGAAAGTTTGTAAAGACCAAAAAGTAAGATATGGAAAAAGGTTTTGGTTTGCAAATAGGCTTAAACTTCGGTAAGGAGTGTGTTGAAAACTCGTTTGTTGTTCTCCTTAGACCAACTATTTTTAACTTCGTCAGCAGAAGCAGAGCTTCTATTAAAATTTTCTATACAAGGGTACCACCTTCTTGCTAGTTATCTTGTACAGAAATGTTTTTAACTTGCATACTGAATATACAGAGGAGTCTGGAGAAAACATGAAAATTCTTGACCTTTGTAAAGACCATTATTGTATAGTTGTCTCTTTTATTTTTCTTTAACAAGTTTCTGTTTTTGTTAGCTATAAGTTTGGTACGAGTGATCGTTGGGGAGAGTTGTTATAATTTAATTTTCGATTTTATTAAACATTTATTAAAATATAATTATAAATTTAAAAAGAATTATTATTCTCTATACTATTAGTTAAAAATAACCACCTCTATTGGGTTAGAATGTTGCTTTAAAATAAATAGAGGTTTTTTTTTTTTTTTTTAACTTTCACAATATCATGAAAAGGCAGATTTTTATTGGGTATTTTAATAGTACATTTTTGGTTAATAAGAGTATATTTAGCTACATGTGTAACTTTTAGTTGTCTATTTAAGTAGGCTGCTTAAAGGTTTTATACTATATACTATATCTGCAACCTAATTAGAAGATTATCTATTTAAACTCTTTAATGTTTACCGTCTTGTATCACTACTACAATCATACCAATTTATAACCTTGTGTTGTTTCAATTAAAGACCATTTAGATTGATATTTGTTATACTACTTATATTCTAATTCTATAGATAATTCAATAGGATTTTTATATTATCAGGCTGCTCTAGAGGAGGTGTACTATATACTTCTCTAATCTTTTTATGTTCTATATATTTTTAGATTAGGCTTCGAATACTTTTCACAGTAATCAAAACTACTACTAGTAGTTAGAATTAATCATTAAATCATACAATTTTGACATTTGTGTTTTACAAGATTTGTTCTAATCCCAATACTTGTATCAAACCAGTTCTTATATTAATTTTTTTCAAACTATCAAACCAGTTAGCCCAAATAGATTATTGTATCTGGACTTTAAGTACCTATTGATTTTACTTCTTTTGGTTTCTAATTTTATACAGTAGCATAGAATCTTTGATATGATTCTAATAGTTAGATTGATAGACCTTTCTTGTCTCATGATTTTTGGTTGGTTTTTTGGTTTTCAGTATTAGCTTTCTGCAGTATTGTCAAAAATCTTTACTATTTATTTACTCAGGTCTAGTTAAATGAATTTCAATTATTCCAATTTCTTGGATTTGAATTATTTAAGAGCTTCTATTTCAAGATAGTAGTATCAAGATTATAGGTAATATATCTAATTAATTATCCAATAAATATTATTGATATACAGGATTATTTTTTTAAAAATGTCTCTAATAAGATTTGAACTCTAAACCTGCTGCTTGGAGTGTAACAACTTAATCACTACTTTAAGTTGCTATACTTTTAATAAAGATTTCTATATAAAATATTTTTTTAAATAATATAATATAGATCAAATATCAGGTTTCGATCTTAGTTGTTATAAGGTTCTGAACATTTTTATTTAATCTACTCAACCTCTATTTTATAATGCAGTTTTTGAAATATAGCACACGGTTATTTTTAACTACTAGCACAAGTTAAAAATATTTTTTAAAATCTATTTATAGCAATTTCACAAACTTCTTCAACTCTATTTAATGCATTTTTATTTTTTTCTAATTATATAAAAATATTATCTTCTAAAAACAATTCTTTATTTACTAATTTTTTAATTTTTTTAATTGTTTGATTTTTCACTTTCTACAAGATCTTTGTTATTCTGCTTTGTTAGTAGTATAATTAAAGAAGAAATATTTAGTTAAATACTTTTTCAAAAAAAACTTAACAATAAAAACATTTTTATACAAGAATATTAACCCAATTTTCATAATAACTATATCTGTATACCAGTATAATAGGATTTGTATTTGCAAGATTTAAAAATATGTCATAATAGTTACATATATTTTTTATTAAAATTTGGTTATTACTAAACCTAACAGCATTTGTTTTTGTTTGTTATAATATTTATACTTGCAAGACTAAATCAATTTTTTCTTTTAGTAGTTTTGATAATTTCACTTTTTTTATAATTTGTATAAACTTTTTGGATCTTCTTTAATATAGGTAGGCATATATAAATTATTACAAGATTATAATATATAAAATCTAAATAATTTGAGCCAATTTAAATCCTAACCTTAATTTTGATCCTAATAATTTATTAAAATTACTTAAATTAGTTCAAAATAATTAAGTTATATATGTTATAATTATATAATAATTATATATACCTATCTATACTAAAAACCAACCTTTTATTTATTAACAAAAATTTTCTTAATTGATAATTTATTAGTTATGTAAAGAAAATCTAATAATATAATATAACACAAAGAGTGTGACAACTTAGTGAAGTGGTGAAGTTGTCGCATCCCCAAGCAGTAGAATATAAGTTCAATTCTTACAGAAGGTGAAAAATTAAATTTCAGAAAAACAGATTTAGCAACTATCATCGTAGTTAAAAAAACTTGAAACCCTGTAACTGTGGTTATACCAAAATAAAAATTAGAAGGTTCTAAAGCATTTGTATAATAAAGGAGTTATACAAAGATATGCAAACCAGTTTAGTTGGTGCAAACTCAAGTAAGTCCTTCAGAATTGCAGAAAACTACAGGGTCAATATGGCGGTAGAGTGCTCTTTGGGAAGTTCTGAATAGAGAAGTAGCACAGACCTTCAACAATACTACATGCAGATTAATACATGAAAAACTAGATAAACTGAACAGAACCGAAGTGTTTGGCAAAGCACTCACCAACCAGACCACTGGAGGAGTAACTAAAGAAAAAAGATCTAATCATAGAGATTAAAAGCAGATTATAGGCCTTCTGGGCCATCTAAATTGATAGTTTGGGATAGCTAGAATATCAGTAATAGTCTGTAGGTATACTGGGGTTTGGATAAACTCTATAAAGATGATAGTAGGTAACTGTAGCAGCTTCAGCTCACAAGTACTTGTTCTCAGACTCGGTGTAAGTTATTGAAGAAGACTAGACAATATAGGAATAGTGGGTACTAGACTGCTTTAGCAGATAATATATTAGAGAATAAATCAGTTAACCATGCTAGATGTGATGATTCTGAAACTTGAACTAACTAATGTATTACATGTTCTGGGTAAAGTTAGACAGATTAACATAAAAAACTCAGATCAAAGAGTTTAATTGGATAATTCAAGTAATAGTATATTATAGGTATGGTATCTAATATAGCATCTAACATATAGGTAGAATGCTTAATTAAATATCCAAAAGGTGCAGATATGGCTAGAATATATTTTCATCAGAATATACTTGTCCAGGTCTCTTTAAAAAGAGCACCACATAATCTTAAATCTAATAAAAATAATAAGCCAAAGAGGCTAACCTTAACTATATAAAAATAATAATAATAATAATATAACACAGATCATATATATTGTTATAGCAGTACTTTTAAAGAAGGTGTTTAAGAAGAGCAAGAGAGAAGGTTTAAGCAGAAGGATTTATTTACTTGTT